ACCGGTCCCAAAACAGACCCCTGCGGACCCCACTTGTTATGATCTTCCAGCATGACTGTGAACCATTAATAACTACTCTTTGAGAATGGTTATCCAGCCAGTTATGCACCTACCTTATAATAGCCCCATCAAAATTGTATTTGCCTAGTTTATTGATAAGGTCATGTGAGATGGTATCAAATGCCTTACTAAAGTCTAGGTATGCCACCTCCGCCACTTCTCCCTTATCCACAAAACTTGTTATTCTATCAAAGAAAGCTTTCAGATTGGTTTGACACGATGTATTGATCTGTGCTGCCTGTTACCTATCAACTTATTTTCTTCCAGATGTTTGCAGATGATTTCCTGAATTACCTGCTCCATTATCTTTCCTGGCACAGAAGTTAAACTGACTGGTGTGTAGTTTCCTGGATTGTTCTTATTTCCCTTTTTTATAGATGGGCACTATATTTGCCCTTTTCCAGGCTTCTGTAATCTCTCCTCACTTCTATGATTTTTCAAAGATGATCACTAAAGGCTCAGACACCTCCTCTCTCAGCTCCTTGAGTAGTCTTAGGATGCATTTCATCAGGCCCTAGTGACGTAAGACATATAACTTTTCTAAGTAATTTTAACTTATTCTTTTTTTCAACTTATAAACCTACCCTAATAGGTTGTGCCCACAAAAGCTCATGATACCATCTATATGTTTTGTTAATCTTTAAGGTGCTGCAATTTGTTGGTTTTTTAAGTTTTTCCAGTTACAGACTAACTCAGCTCCCCCTCTGAAGCATAATGAAGAAGATAGTAAAGCATTATTTGCAGAGGGGCCTCAATATGTTTTATCCCTCTCTGAGCATCCCTCACTGAGAACAGGCTCCATTTTACCAAGTAGGTGGTCCTGGTGGATAGCTTTTTGCTTTCTGAGCGAATCTGTGTCACCCCATGCAAACAGAACTTCTCCTTGGGATTCAGCCAGGTAATAACCATGCCATGAAATGGAGTGGTTGCAGATCCAGGTACAGGAAACAGCTATGATCCTAGGCAACAGCTCTACGTGGACTGGCTGAGGCTGAGGCCGTTACACTAAGAGGCTCAAGAGACATGGATGGATAGAAATGTATGCCGACAATTTGGTTTATGAACATTTTCTCCTTTCTTGATACTTTCTTAAATCACTTTGAGATCTATGCATGAAAAGCACTATGTAAGAGTAAGTATTATTGTTATACTTGGATCTACATATAGTGGGTCCAATTCTACTCTTATTGTTGACATCAACAGAAGTTTTGTTTCAGATTTCCTAATAAATAAGATCTGGGATTTAGGGTGTAAAAGTAATGAAACCTTCTCCTTATGGAACATAGTGTAATGAGGTTTTGCCCTCAATGCCTCAAGCTCATTAGCCCCCATTTTTGGCTATCAAGAATGTGACTTTTTTGTGGATAGGAGAAACGTGGGACAGGAAGCTAATTGTTAAAAAATGAGACTTTGTGAATAGTGAAAGAACAAGGTTGAAGTCCCACTGAGGAGTAGGCTTTTTTTAATATGCAGAAAGGTTCTGAATAGGCCTTGCCAGAATTTGCTAATCAGATGCATGATTGCACCATATGCACCGATTGCTACTAAGTGGACCTATAAGTAATTCAAGTACAAACTACTAATTGTGCAGTCCTATATTGAGTATTGTGCACAATATTGGTCACCCATTTTAAAAAAGGATATTGACCCCTCATTAATTATGCAGAGAAGTGTGATGAAAATGATCATGGGCATAAAATATCTCACAAAAAAGACTGAAAATTAGGACTATGGACGTAGAAGCTCTCCACACTAAATTCCACCCAAAGATGGACTACAAGCCACCTGGAACAGTATCCCTGATGATGTCATGGCACATTTGGTGACTAATTTTTCTCCTCATCCACAACCATTTCAGATTTGAGCACTATGTATACCTTCAAGTCAACAGCACTCCCATGGGTTCCCTCATAGCTCCACCATATGCCACCATGTTTATGGCTGATTTAGACCAATACTTCCTCAGCCTTCGTCCCTAAATGTCCCTCCTCTATTTATGCTACCTTGATGACATTTTCACCATCCTGACCCACAGGAAGGAGACTCTTGAAGAATTCTACTGTGATTTCACTCCACCATCAACCTCGGCCTGGAACAGTCCACACAAGAGATCCACTTCCTGGACACTACAGTGCAAATAAGTGATGGTCACATAAACACCACCCTGTACCAGAAACCCACTGATCTCTATACTTACCTACATGTTCCAGTTTTCATCCAAAACACATCACATGATCCATTGTCTACAGCCAAGCCCTAAGATACAACCACATTTGCTCCAATCCCTCAGATGGAGGCAAACACCCACACAATCTCTTTCAAGCATTCTTAAAACCACAGTATCCACCTGGGGAAGTGAAGAAACAGATTGATAGAGCCAGATGGGTATCCAGAAGTCAGTCTCCTGGGTATCTACTACAGGACAGGCATTGAAAGTAACAAAGTGCCACTGGTCATCAACTATAGCCCCCATCTAAAGCCTCTCTAGCACATCATCAAGGATCTACAACCTATCCTGGAAAATGATCTCTCACTCTCAGACCTTGGGAGGCAGGCCAGTTCTAACTTACAGAACTCCCCTCCCTCCTCTCCCTTCCCCCAGCATTGTGAAACAAACAATGATCAGCAACTACAATCCACACAACAGAAAGCTAGGAACCAATCCATGTTGCCAACTCTGCCCCTGTATCTACTCAAGTGACACCATCATAGGACCTAACCACATCAGCCATGCCATCAGGGGCTCATTCACCTGCACATCTGTTAGTGTTATATATGCCATCATGTGCCATCATGCCCCAGTTTCAAGGAGGGTTCCTCAGAAAATAAGTCAAACTAAGGAAGGGAAACCTAGTGCCTGTCAGGAAGCTGTGGATTTTGAAATCAAAAGGCCCAGACAGGCAGCCCTGGAGCCTATCTATCTTATCTGAAAATATTATAAATGTGCATCCTGCTAGTGATCAGCTGAAAGAATTAATGGAGTGAAGCAGTCTGGCTTGATCACAGCTGCATGCTTCCTCAGCATTTCGTGTGACGGGAGAAATCATGTCTTGACTGTCTTTGGACACTCACCTGAAATCCTTTTACAGAAGATTATTGCGTTCTATGTTACTTTCTGCAACTGTCTCTTTCCCAGTCTGCTATCTCAGCTGCTACAGTTCTTAGGAATATAAATAACAGTGGACTCTAGGCAGAAGAAAAAGCCAGTGTACAGCGAGGAATCAGGGAAAAGACTTCCATCTCCTTTGACAATGGTAGTTAGGAAGCTGATTGATTTCCTGCTGGAAGAGGAGCACAGGCCTGCTCTACCTCTGGTTAGAAGGTATTCATTTGTTACAGGATTCATTTGTCTGAAAAGCCAGGATGATGAAATACATTGGCTTCAGCATGGCTGCGGGGGATAACTAACATTCATAAGGTGATGGGCGAACCACACAACAGGGGAGATGTGAGAGTCAGAAACCCAAATTGGCTCCAAAGACAAAACACAGAATCTCTGAAGGGGAAGAAATACCAACAGAATTCATTGCTGATATAAAGACGTATATAATCACTCATAACTGATGTCCATAGCACAAAAAATATCCCATAAAGACACAATTGATAGCAGCATTGAGCATTTTATAAACTGTGAAAAGCATTGTCTAAAGAATGACAGATGTACTGCTGAAAGTCCAGGTTTGTAACAGCAATTTCTGGATCACATTACTAGATGGAAAATCCTGGGGGAAAAAACCTTATATAATTACCCTGTAACACATTTGTCCTGAGTGATGCAGATTTCTCCCCAGCATTTTCCATGTTGTAATGCTATTTAGGATTGTCTGTTGGAACAGTATAGACCTTGGAGTATACTGATTACTCCTTCTATAAGTCTATTACCATTTAGTAGATGCCCTTAGGTCACTGCATGTAAAATAAAGGAATAAAACCATAATATGCACCTCAAAGATAGAGCAAGGAACATTTTAGAAATTAAAAGATCAGATTATATGTTGGAATGGAAGGTATTGTTTGCAACCTGTGTAAGCATATTACTAGCTTTAATCTAGCAGACTTTCTGAAAAAAGCAATGAAGATACTGTTGTGCTGCTGGATAGAAAGACAGAGGTGGTCAGACCTACTGATCAGAGCTGTAGTGGTCAGATCCCAGAAGTCAGAATTGGAGACAGAGTCAGGCGTCAAACCAAGCGTCAGAGCCAGTCAGTAGCCAGGCTGGGCATAGAAGCAGAGAATCTGGAACAAGGCAGGAAAGCAGGAACAGGACAGGCAATGCTTACTTAGTAATAAAGCCAAGACTCAAGTGGTTTTTTACTTTCTTAACTGAAGTGGCAAATCCAGAGGTGCTGAGACCATGAACTGCTAAGCCAAGAGGACCTGGGCCCTAGCACAAATCAAGCACTGATGACAGGATAGGAAGGCAGGGATCAGAAGGAATAAGGCAAGGCTCAAGAATCAGATGAGAAGGCAGGGTCCAATGTACCAGCCAGCCAGAAATTTACCTGGTTGCTCAGACAACTTTCCTGTGCCTCCTTCTGGCTAAATAGTAAGTCTAAGCCAATCGGAAAGGTCAGATGTCTCCTCCAATTGGGAGTTTTGGGAAAAGCCTGTAGTAAACAAGGGTGTGTCTAGACTACAGAGTTTTGTTGACAAAAGTGGACTTTTGTCGACAAAACTATACCTGCGTCTACACTACCGCTGAGTTCTGTCGACATAACGTTGACAGAACTCAGCAGTTTTGTCGACGCTGGTAAACCTCATTTTACGAGGCATAATGCCTTTTGTCGACAGAGTTCTGTCGACAGAAGGTGTTATTGCATCTACGGTTGTGTCTAGACTACAGGGTTTTGTTGACAAAGCAGCTTGCTTTGTCGACAGAACTGAATGTAGTCTAGACGCTCTTTGTCAACAGAAGCTTTGTCGACAGTATCTGTCGACAAAACTTCTGTTGACAAAAGCCTGTAGTCTAGATGTACCCCAAGGGTCCACCAACCCATGCTACCTGCAGGCAAGCAATCCAAGTACCCAGCCTGGGGGGCTGGATAGGTTAGTACAGCCTGTGCCAGCACATCTTCACTGCTGTTTTAACAAGCTTACTAGATTCAAGCATAGGTGTGTCCACATTACTGCAATCAGAGATTTGATCTGCAGGGTTTAGACAGAGCTTCGCGCACAATAAATCTGGTTTAACAGTTCTGGCAGTGTAAAATGAACAAATAAGAGGCTCATTAGAAAGTGAGTGATTATCCACGTGGCACACAAAATATCTTTACTAAAGAACAATTCAAATTAGCTGTGTAATGAAAATATAAAAAAGGCTTTTTAAGGCAGTATAGTAAAAGACTTACAATATCACTATGAGTGAAATTCATATCAGTATAGAAGGCCTGCAGGGTCCAGACTCTACGGAAGGGCCACTTAACCCTTATTTTAAGGATTTGTGCAAAGGGGGTTAGGTGGTCATTCTGAACAGGAGTGCATTTCACCCAATGGGTGCAGATACAAGTCTATACCCCCTATTGACTTCAGTGGGAAAAATAACTGAAGAATTCAGTTCTGTGTTCAAGTATTATGGAGAATCTTCTCTCCTCAATGTGTGAACATAACTCCCTATAAGTTTAATAAGAGTGACATATCAGTATCAAGGGCAATAAGACCTGTAGCAACATTACAGGGTGAAATTATATATATTAAATCAATTAGCACATTTAATGAGCTATGTCTTTCTTTTAATGGTTTTTCTAGACATACGTATTATCAGACAAAACATTTAGGTCATGAGAAAATATATATTTCCAACAGCATGAATTCTGAATGTTAATTGAAAGAAGGCATGTTCAACTCTACAATTTCTCCATCATTGGACCAGTTGAACTAGTGTGAAGCAGTGCATATATTAAATTACTTTAAGGAAATGAAAAAGACAGATTGATGTAGAAGATGAGTACAAACATTCAAGGCAGTAAAAAATGCAGAACGCTGACATATGGGTGAAAAATGTATTTTAAATGCTCTTTTAGTATCACATAAAACTAGCAATTCACTTTAAAAACATTCTTCATCAGCAACTCTATTTTTGATCATATGAAATCACTAAATTGAACACTGTCCATCAGCTGGAATTAATCTTAATACCTAATGTTCATATCAAACACGTATATTTTGTTAACTTTATTTGTTATTTAAGATAGTTTCAAGGTGCGGCACCAATATTACATAGGTTTATTATTTGATTTGTAAAGAAACATGCAAATATTAATAAACAAGGGTTTTCATAATAGTTATATTTGGTTATCATTTGATAATTATTGATAGAGCACACCAAGCTTTTTTGTGAGTAGTTTTTCTGTTACATTTTATGCTGAACACTACTATTCCACAGCTACCAAATTGCCACCATAGTTCTCAAGGCTTAAAAAGGAAAGCCAAAGAGGAAAGGAAATAAGTATGCCTTTAGGCTTTAACATATATTTACAAAACAATATTATTTTATATGAAGATAAATATATATAAAGAATTAATATTTCATGGTATTTGTATCAGCATGAAATGTAAAAAATCCCCAAAAGATTAGTAAAACACAAATAACTGGTACTTTACACCCTTGGACCAGTTTTGTATAAGGCTTTAGTTTTCCTGATGAATGGGACATACACTTTTTTAAAGTAGGTCTCTTTATATGCTTCAGTCATTATAACTGTAATTTGTCACAATACATTTTGTAATAAAATAAAAACTCTGTGTTGTAATTGAAGATAACTAGTTACCATTTAGATGTACATGACGTTTTATAGAATAGCTTCCATCGAAAGTATAAGAACTAGATTTAAGGTGCTTTGATAGTTTTGCTTTCATTCCTAAAAAGTACCACACAAAAAGAGTTGCAATAAGTACTTGCTGAAATGCTTTTCTTTGGCCTTTACCACATTTTCTAAAAAATAGCCTATTATCCCCCCATAGGAGAATGTTATGTTTATTAGTCATGTGTCATCATTATTGTAAAACTTATTGAAATGAAATGTTAGATGGATTTTTGTCACAGCTACCTTTCTTTCTTTTCCCTTTCAAATTTTCCTTTTTGCATCAAGCAATAACCATAAGCAACAATTAATTTAAAGCTAGATTTTTGTATGTTGTAAACTGGCTAGGACCAGGAGCTACTGACAGAACCAGCCAGTCATGCAATGTCAGCAAGTTACCTCTATATCAATATGCTGTCATATAATCCTTTCCTTTGTTTCCCTGCCACATCCACTAACACAATTATGCTGGATAATGGTTCAACAGTAACTGCATATGATAGTTCTAGCAAGACATTTTTTGTTTTAATCACATGATTTTTTCTTCTCTCTGAGAGGGGTTAGAAAAGTAGAGCCTTTTTCTTTAGGTCATTCCTCTTCCAAAGTGCCAGACGATCAAATTCTTCAATGGTCATTTTGAAGACTTCCTGGAACTCTTCAGGAGACAAGTGCCTCTTGAAAAAGAAAATACAAAGATACTATCAGTGCGTTCAGAAATAAGGAGTATTTCTCCCTCTCCTGCACCTTAATTCATACTATGAAACAATGCATTGGAATTTTCATTTAAATTCCCAAACTGATTCTGAAAAAGACTGCGTCAAAATCAAATAAGCTAAGCTCTGTTGTGAAATGAAATGGACAGCAATGGCTTAGTTGTATAAAAAGAAAACTTTTCCAATAAAGTTCCCACTAAGTAGAAACTGGAATCTTTGGGAAAGAGATATAGGTATTTCTACATATAATTTGACGACAGAACATACTGTGGCCAATTTAAGCCAATCTGGAAATTTAAAGATATTGTTATCAATATAATTTCAGAGCTAGATTTTTTCCCCTTCATCTACAATAAGTGCAATAGACACCATGTTATTTCTCTAATAGTAGCCTTGTAACAAAGGAGAAACCATGCTGCTAAGATCTTACGTGAAAAATGTGCTTACGCATGGATTTAAAGCAGTGTTTCTCAACGTGGTCTGTGAAACCACGTTGAGAAACATGCTAACTGGCTGCACCCGTTTGTTTACTTACCAGCGCTGTGGACACAGGCCTTGTGATTCTCATTGGCTCCGGTTCGCCATTTGCAGCCAAGGGAAGCAGAGGCCCAGCCCATGCTACTTCCTGCGGCTCCCTTTGGCTGCAAACAGTGAACCGGAGCCAATGGGAGTCGCGAAGCACTGTGGCTGTGGCGCCAGAAAGGAAACAACCCGTCACGGACAGTTAACATGTTTCTCAAAGTGGTTTTGTGGACTTTTGAGAAATACTGATTTAGAGCAGCAATGGGTAATATAGGCTAGTGACTGGGCCACATGAGTGGCCAGCCCTTGTTTTAGCAGGTTGCAAATATCGTCATAACTGACACAATCTCCTGGGATAAGGCAGTTTTGCTAACAGCACTTGTGTACCTAGAATTTGCAGGGGGTGTCGATTGAACTGTAGCAGCACTTTGATTGGATGCAAAGGGAGCGCACAACTCTCCCTCACAGTCAATGTTGTGTGCAATCAGCACAGACCTCACTTCACATACCCTTGCTTTATGTGCATGTCTCTTTTGGAAAAAATCAGAGTTCATGGACAGAAACCACCAGTATCTGGCAACACTGCACACGAGCAATGGTAAACAAAAGGTCTTGTGGGCAACATATAGAACCCCGATGGTCAACATGCAGCCCGTGGGCTACAGGTTGCCCACCACTGGGTTAGAGATGTGGTATACAGCTGATTTGAAATGACCGAAGCTGTGCTTTTATTTGATGTTACCAGTTTATTCTGTATAAAGTGAGATACAGACCCAAAAAGAAAGAATTACAAAACAATGCTGCCAGTAGGGCCAACGTAAGGAACCTCTGTGAAAAAGTTATGCTCAGTACCTACTTATTATATTTACAGAATAGTAAAGTCTTTGGAGTAAAAGGTATACAGCTCAAATATGCACAGAAAAGAATTTTTAGATTCTCCATTAGCTATTTTGGATTCTATTTTGTCAAACCATTTTACAAACACTAAGTCTCACTACATCATGTAAGGTAAAAATTATACCCTTTAAAATGTATATAATCAACTATTACCAATAATGACCATTTTGGGTACTCATTTGAGACCCAATTTTCACAAATGCGGAGTGCCCACAACTACTACTGAAATTACTGCAAGGTAAGGTTGTGCACCACATTGAAAATCATCCGCCCTTCCCACCTCCCAGTGACTCATTGTCTTCCTATAACAAAGGTTTTCAAAATCAAAGGCTAATTTTTGGAAGTGTTGGCCTGAGTGAGTTCTCAGCTTCTTGAAGTGGTGCTCCTCAATCCCTGCTACTCTGCACTGTGTACCTGGGAGAAAGAGAGCAAAAACATCTCTTCTTGGCTCATCCTCCTCTTGTTATTAGTAATAGTAATAATTACTGTAGCCCCCAGCAGTCCCAGTCATGGCCCATTGTGCAAGGTGCTATACAAACACAGAACAAGAAGATAGACTGTAAGCAATTTGGGGACCAAAGTATAAGATGAGAAAACACAGGGCTACAGATAAGAAAATACCTGTCAGTGTGATAGTCTCAGCATTTTAACAGCCTAACCTGGCTGTTCTCCCCCCATTTTGGATATCAGTGCTTAGCATTATCTCCCTACTCACTGGCGCACCATACCCTGTAGCCCAGGAACACCAAATCCCCTCCACCAGGCTCCTTCTTTCATGAACACGAACTCCTTCACACCCCTCTCCCTCTCTCTCACACACACAGTTTACAGCCCCAGGAAATCTTAATCCCAAAGATGTCATTAAACTGGAGAGACTTCAGATAAAAGTAACAAAACTGATTATGGGGCTAAAGAATTTGATTTATGAGGAAAGATTAAAAAAACCTAACAATGTATCAACTTGGCCAAACGATGACTAATGGGGAGGATGATAAATGTCTACAAGTGTTTGAAGGGTCTAAATACCAAGAGGAAAGACCCATTGAGAGAGGTTACGGCAATTATTCATATTTTTCTAAGTACATATGATTTTAATTTTGTTGGACTTTACCTATAGCTGAGAATTTAATGCTCTTCACTAATGAAGTTGGGGAGAACAAATCCCAAAGAAATCTAGGGGTGAATTTTCTCTCTAATCAGTCTTTGAACATTAATTATCTTAAATGAAACTCTCTGGCCTCAACAGCAGGGGAATTGAAAATTTATGTATGAGGGGGAGAGAGAAAATATAAACTTGTGTGTGTGTATTTTATAAGGCTATCCTAAGACTTAGAAGTCTTTGTAGGAATGACTCAGTGAAAAACAAGTTACAATTCTAATATATTTTGTGTGACTCGACCACTACTGAAGAAATGTAAGCTGGTTTTGTCAGAACTGCAGGATTTTAGTCATTTTCAATTGTATTATAAAATATTACTTTGTGAGATATTCTTTTTATTCCACATTTATGCTCACAATCTTTTATTAATTTAAAAAATAGAGTTCTGCGATCACCAATATAGCTTATGTTACTGGTACTATCTCTTGCAGCATGGCACAAGGAGTGAAAAATGACTTTTTTGTGCAGCATGTTTGGTGGTGTACAGAACACAGAGGAAGACTGGCTCTCTTTCCCAAAGTGATAATAATCTAAGGGCCACACTGATAGCAACATGGGAAAAACCTGCATAAAGATCAGAAAACGAAACAAGTTTCAACTTGCATGTCTCCCTTCAGATTGTTCTTGGGGTGGGTTGCCTTCCCTCAAAAGGGAAGGCAAAGCCCACTAAAATAAGCAAATTCCGTAAGATCTAAGAGGGAAGAGGTGAGTTGTACAAATGCTCTTTGCACCACTCCCTGACTTTCCTTCCCCATGTTCTGAGTCAGAGCATGTGCCCTTATCACAACAGTGCACATGTTTTGGGATAGGCCTGTGAGACACAGGGTCTGATTCTCCACACTGGCATTCTCCTCCTGTAACTCCAGTGAATTCAATGGGATTACAGCATGTAAAGAACTGATTGCTTGGGGCTGATGTTATTCTTAACCTCACTTACTCTCTATAAATACTATGCTAGACTAGAATTCAGTAAGTGATGCTGCTGTAAAAAAGAGGTCATCCAAATATTGCTATCAGTAACCCCATCAACACAAACACTGGAAGAATTAGAACACAAGAGCTTATTATCAAGAATTACAGTAAACTCCAACCACTTAATCATTAATTAAAATTTGTGCTTAATCTCTTTAAAGCAAGGAGGAAGGCAAGCATTACAATGTGAAATCCTCACATTCCAAGCTACAGGTTCATTAAAGTGAATCTTGCAGATATGGGCTCATTACATTGACTGCCAAAAGAAAGATAATTAATTGCACAGTCAGTCACTACATAATGTTTTAAATGATGCTTTTCTTTGCAAAATAATGAAGTTTGTCTCTGGTTTTCTATGGCCTGTTTAAAAAAAATACAAAACAGTTTAAATAAATTTATAATGTTTATTCAGTTGTTAACTTTATTTTATTTGAGAAGAATTATGCTTGTAATGAAATCCAGAGATCTTCAAAACGAATAGTTAGCAGCATTACATTAATGTGAATGAGTTACGGTGAGGGAAGACTGCAATTAACCTACAGCCATATTGCCTCAAGCTGTGGTCACATAAACTAAGCAGGTTTATGGTGTGTCAGTAATTAGATGGGAGGTCTCAAAGGAAAAGGTGCTAGAAATTCAGGAGGTATTATCCATCCTTGTTGTCAGTCAATAGTCCCATGTAATGCAGAGTACTGCATTGCTAGAGAGGATGAATTTAAGAAGAGAAAAACCAAGGTCCTGTTTACTAGTTGTCATCAAGACTATCATTCTATTTCAGTTACCTCCTGTATCCCGAGCAAAGTACAGCTAGGCTTTATATTACACCCAGCTGAATCCATACTGTGCTTCCAGTGGGACACATTTGTTCTGAAATACTATTTATTTTGTAGTATTGCTTGTAAATTGTTGCTTTGTTTAATTTTGGTGGTGACCACAGAGATTATATCACCTGCACTCTGCCCATTAATTGGTTTCTGTCAGGACTGCTATTGACATTCCCAAATCTGTGAGCAAGAGAATCTGGAAGTAAGAGTTGCAGAATCTGGCCCTGAGCTAGTACCAGCTCTCTAAACAGAAAATCTGAGACAGATTGTCCGCCCCTCACAAATATGGGATGGCAAATATCCACACAAGTGGTCTCCATTTCAGCTCTCCAATGTGAGCAAGTGATGGTCTGTCCTTTTAGGTGATCGTTTCTTGAGTGTAAAGATGTTAAAACTTTTAAAATTTTAAAATACTTCCAGTATCCTGAAATAGCGTTTTCTGCATCTTGACAGTGTGCTCATTGTTGCGAAATAGCTTTTGAAATAACGGAAGCACTATTCCGACATCCCTATAAACCTCTTTCTACAAGGATTAAGGGATGTTTCGGAATAGTGCTTTATTTTGAAATTTGGCACTGTGTTTACAC